GCCCAATGAATTGAACAAATTAAATTTTCAGACTAATATTCAAAGGCCCAATCGCGTTCACGATATTACTATTTAGCTCATTCACCGTTTGAGATTGGTGTTAAGCTTGTATTAACTAAACTTAGGAGACAAAGTTTAAATATATATGTTTGAATGAAGAATCCTTTTCTTCCAAAAAAAGAAGAAGGAAGAATCCTTTTATTCTTCTAGAGTGAGACAAAGAGTTTTTAGAAGTACAAAAAATGAAAGGTGTTAACACACTATGCTCTACCATTATATTAAAAAGTTAAAAAGACATGTTGTACTACCTGGTATTCGAACTAAGGATGTGCAAGCCAACACGGTAGTATACTTCCATCTTGCTAATACGGAATTTATGTTCAAATTCACTTTGTTTGTAATTATATCTTATTTAACAACACTACATGTAGTATAATACATACATACATACATACATACATACATACATACATACATACACACACACACACACACAGATATATATATATATATCATTGTTCTAAAAATCGGCCTAGGCGGCCCTAACCGTAGAGGCCGAATCGGCCTAGTCGGCCAAAAAATCGGCCTAGCCGGCCGCCTAGGCGCTAGGCGCCCCTCAACCGCCCAACTAGCATCTAGCGAATTTTACAACAATGATATATATACGACCTTCGTCCCGCTAAGATTGTCCCATTTTACCATTTCGGTCCATCCCACTAAGATTGTCTCACACCTTATTTGGTAAAGTTTGTGTGGCTCTAAGGGAGTGTTTGCAATTGCTTCAACTTTAAAAAAGTGATTTTTTAAAATTAGTACTTTTTGTGTAATAGAAAAAGTAAGAAGCAGTTTAAAGCACCCTTCTACCTGCTTCCAGCTTTTAACTTTTAAGTGATTAATTTAAGCAGAAGCTGTCATTTGAAAACACTCTTTTCAACTTTTTTTTAAGCCAAAAGCTAAAAAGCGCTATTTTAAAGCAATCCCAAACACTCCTTAAATCATTCTTACTTTATCAATTCAATATCAATCACAAAACTACTTTTTATAGTAGATTTGCATGTCACTCCCTCTTGTCCTATTGTTAGTGGGACGGAGGGAGTAGTAAATTAATTTTTTTTAAGTTGGGCCTAGGCCCTCAATGGACCATAGCCAGATCCGCCCCTGGTTATCGCCTTGTGCAAAAACTGCAGCCACCGCCCTCCGTCGATGTTACCACCAAACTAGTGCCACCGCAGCCGCAATCCTAGTACCCGCCACCACTAATGTCGATGCTGGCAATGTAATTATCAAATTTTGCATGAAGTTGGAAAAATGTTTAAACCTGTTGATGTGAGTTTTCTCGCACTTAAAATAGATTGTAATATAGTGGTGTAAGTACAAGTATCGTCTCCACAGGGACAGACAAAAGGGAATTAAATATTAACTAAATTCAGCGATTAAAAATAAATAAAATAAATGTGTCGTGCGAGATATGATTGGTTGTTGGAAAATTAAACTAATGCGAAAAAATAAAAGATTGGTTTCTCTCTAATTAACGACGAAGGGAACATAGATTGATTTCAGGGTAACCAAATTTCTGGCAGATCAGTCTTAATTACATGAAATTAATTTAATTGAGACTAGCTAATCATTACTAAGTTCTTACTGCTCTCGCGGCGTAGAGTACAATAATTTAGGGGACTTGGCTGATCTCTCATGCGACAGGATCCTAAATTATTGCCAAGACGAACGAGCTTACGGCCCCTTAATCGATACCAATCTCTTAGCTAACGATTAAGTATGTGTGAATGTGTCCTAGAATAAACTAGATCTCTCTTAATTTATTCTATAAGCAATTGTAATTTTAGCCGCGGTTTCAAGTTACAAAAGATATCAATTAAATTATTCAATTTCAAATTAAACAGCATTCATGCAATTAATCCATCAAGAATCTAGCCATACATCATGATCAACCCCTTCATCTATCCCAAATCCCTAATTAAACTACTCACAATTCATAATTGAAGAATCAACAGAATTGGGAAGAATAATATTAATTGTCAATAATTAAAAAGATGAACTTACAAATAATCCCGGGGTCTTGGAGTAAACAATGATAAAAACGCAAGTAAATTCGTCCCTAGGTCTCTCTGTAATGTTCGTAACACTTAAACAGGAGAAGGGAAGCCTTATTTATAAAAAAACAGATGAGTTTGGGCTGAACTGGGACAAAAACGGGGTAATCCGGGCGAAAATAGGATTTTCCGGAGGCAGACACGGTGCCAGGCACGACCGTGCCTTCGAACGTTCCTCCGGAGCAAAATCGCGCGTTTTGGGCAGTAGCTCCGCGGTGCTTTCTCTTCACGCACGATCGTGCCTAACTTTGAGCGCACGATCGTGCCTATTTAAGACTTAACTTCCGAATTTGACGATGCTTCCTTCATAAAAGTTGCAGATAATGAAGTCATATATCCACCACATCTTGCCGAATTAGATTTGAATCATTCAATCAAGAGATATGATCAAAACGGTGGAAGGTCGCATTCTGAAATCGCAACAGGGGTCATCTGACTTCATCGTCTGTTGTCACTTTTCTCCTCTCAGATTCTCGGAATGATGTCTTCATAAGATTTGCATCCCTTGAAGTTGGCTTTCATATGCAACTTGAATCGTGTCCTTTGGATGCTTCTACAAAGAGATATGCTTGAACAATTGACAGAAGGTCATCCTGATCGCCGTTTTCAATCTCTTTTCGTCTTGTTTTGATCCCGTAGCCAATCCTAGAGCTCTTTTGTCATCAAATCTTCATCGTGGACCTCCCGGTGACCTCCATAGCTCTCAAATCAATCTAAAATGCTTCTCAAATCATCCCGATTGTTCCTCAAGCGCCGGTGCCGGGCTCAAATTCCCTGATTTTGATTCCAAATGACACAAAACTCGAACCAACGCCTGGTAAACATAACTTGAGCTAAAATTGAGACTTGCAACACCTTAAAGCTAGGAAAACCATCAAAAGCCGATCCCAACACGCATCAAATGCGTGTCTAAATACGGACTTATCACCTGTATAAAAAGAAATGTTGTTATGTCATAGTGTAATATATCGCGAGTATACTCACAGCTTGTAATTGCCATTAATTTTTCAAAATATGCAGGCAATAGGAAACCGGAAATACCATTATTTTAAACGAAATTAGAACTTTAACAAAGATTGAACAAAAATGAACATTTCACTTATAGTTTTTTCATTAGCCTTGGCCGTTTATCCGAAAAAAACAAGAATTCTTTCTGCGTTATAGTGGGACGGAGGGAGTATTTAACTAATTCATCATTTTTCATTGTAATTAATATCAAATCTTTGCCTCCACCCCCACACCTGCCCAGTCACACCCGGATTCGTCACGAAAAACAGCTGTCGGAAAAGTTGCCGGAAACCGCTGCCGGAAAAGTTGCCAGAAATTTTTTATGATTTTTTTCCCTTCATGTTTTTCATTTTTTTCATAATTGCCACAGTGTCACAGTGTCACAGTGTCATGTTTCACATCAATAGTGACATCCATTAGTGACATGAAGATCTGGAAGTGACATCTATTAGTTAAATCAAAATCTGGCATTGACATGAAAATTTTATAGTGACATCATATTTATCGAAAAGTATGACCTTATGATCGCATTTTTGTAAATCTATAAGAGTGGTCACTTATTTAGAAATTGACTTGAATTTTGTCATATTTAAGGAAAAACTCTAAATATTGCACAAAACTATCAAAAAAATTAGAAAACAGGAAGCCAATATTCAAATTCGAGATAACCAGAATTTTAACTGAGACCGGAAATTCAATGGAATCACAAAACAGAACTACAAAAACAGTGTCCAAAAATGAAAAAACTTGATGCAACAACTCAAAAATTTAATGAAATCAGAATATTCCTTTTGATAAATAACAAAATCAATGAAAACATCTCATTTTTTAGACGTAAAGCAGAGGAGAAAGAGCGGGAGGAGAAGAAGATGAAGAGGATAATACCTTGAAATCTCGAATCGACGACGATGGTGGAAAAAGAGGCGGTAAATAGAGACGGTGATGGCGATGGAAAACCGGCGGCGGCGCTCAAAAGTAGAGGCATCAACATGGTGTTGATGCATATAGAAGAGTAGCGAATAGGGGGAGCCGCGCAAGATTGATGAAGCTTAGCTAGGGTTTTCATTTTATTATATACTAGCTCCGTCCCATTTTATGTGTCTTAGTTTGACTTGACATGATTATTAATGAAGTGGTTGAAAAAGTAAAAGGTGCGGTTGAAGTTTGAGTATAATAAAATAAAATGATGTATGCTACATATTTCTTTCCAAAAAAAAGGAAATGAGACACTTATTTTGAGACAACCCAAAAAGGAAAGTAGGACAGGTAAAATAGGACGGAGGGAGTATATAAGAAGATATAATGATAATCTGGAATCCTATTTAGATAATTATAAATTTAAAGTCCTCTTTTCAAAAACAAAAATATTTAAAGTCCTATAGATGCATGCATTTAAGTTCAGTTTTAGTCCAAAAAAGATTTGTGACCTATCTTGAATATAAGTTATCCCATTTTTCATTTTTAGAAAATCTACTAGAATGATCTCATACCAAATTTGTTAAAGTTCGATTGGCTCTAAATTATTCTTATTTATTCTTACTTTAGTAATCAAATATCAACCACATAAACACATTTTCTTAATAAGCGTGACAATTTCTCTTATTCAAATGTTAGTGGACGGAAGTAGTAGACCATGTCTCAAAAACTTTTTCACTTTCCATTTTAATCAATCAATTTGTGACTCTTGTTATTTTTCTCCTCTGCATAAATATCTATCACACAGTTTTTATGCTACGTGCCGATCAAACTTGGCAATTACTCCGTACTAATTGGTTCAAGCGTTTTTCGTACTGTTTACTCCGTATTTTATTCTCTCTGTCTTTGCTAAGATGACGTGACTTTTGAATAGGTGAGCAGTCACCCAGCTTTCACGTCCATTAGACATTTCCCACATTCCATTGTTTATTTTCCAGTCCACCGACGGGCTGACCCGATTTCATCCAAATACGTACTTAAAATGCAAACAAAAAACTCATCTTCTTCACCTGCAACAGATCGAAGCTCTGTATGTAGTTTATACATATACGTATTCCCTAGAAATATTTATATACATTTATACAATAATATATTCATACATTGAATTATTCTTCATCCGCGAGCTAGCTCATTTTCCTTGAAGTCTAACGTTAATTTTGCCTGCCCTGGATTGACTGATCACTATTCCTTTTCTGCATTATCAGCTGGTAAGAATATTTTTATTTGTTTATTTTCATGATTTACATCTCAATATTATAGAGCTTATGATTGCTGACTTTCTTTATTCTTTTTGCTTATTTGTTTGTTTGTTTACATTTTGCAGATCGGTATATATATTTCGCTATTCACATTTCAATTCATTTGATTAATGAATTAATCAATTAATTATGGGATCTGTTGTATTTACTGATATGGAAGCTTTTCTAATTCCTAGCTCCATCAAGGTACGCATATAACGTGGTTCAAATTAATTAATTGTCTAATGCATTCAACTTGATAATAATTACGGAGTAATAGCTAAGGTCAGTTTTTTAGTTCATAAAACTAGTCCTTATAATTGAAATGTGGTTACTTTGGTCAATATGGAACCTTTAAATTGTCTTTCTACTTCTAAATTAAACTACTCCATATAGTCATATACAATATGCAAATGAACCGTACAAATTAAATATTAAGTTTTTGGTTTGAATCAAAGATTTTGAGATAAGAAGATACGTATAGTACGTAGTTTGTAGTGAGCATCGAATTCAACCATGAAATGACGATATATAATAATGGGTCAATGGGAAAAGGGAGTAATGAGTAATTCATGCTGCACTTTCCACAACGACCTAAGAGAGTTTTTAATACTGAAATATTACCTACAAAACAATACTCCTCCCGTCCCAAATTGATTTACAAAGTCAACATTTTTATTCAATCAATAATAAAATTTAATCCTTCTTATCGATAATTAATTCAATTTTTAATAATTAAATTTTACATATTAATAAACTACATTAAAATCTCTTCTGTTAAAGGAAATTACATGTAGTGTGCTATTATTATAGATAGAATATATCTGTGGAAATGATCTGTACGTTATTAATGGGCCCTGAGGCACATGTATTGTAACCCTTGCCTATCCCTATTTAATGGGAGCTTTCTATGCAGTGATAATTAGGGGTGGTTCGGTACGGTATACCTTATATTTTTTCTCATACCTTTGCCGTACCAAAACTTTCGGTATGCAAAATTTGCATACCTTTACCTTACCGAAGTTTCGGTATACCGCATTTCGGTATACCGAAGTTTCGGTTCGGTAACGGTACGGTATCGGTAAATTACCGTGCATGTCTCCCAATACAAAAAATTATCATAGACTAATGAAATATAGTAAATCGTTATTACTAGCGACTTATTAAATCTATTATTAAAATGTTACGAAATACAATTAATAATATATTGATGTCAATTCAATATTGAACAATAATTATAATTAGTATATTTAAGCAGTTCAACATACAACATATTATAAAGTAACATATTCTCCTAAAATAACTTGAACAATATAGATATAATTAAATTAATAGTGATCTCTAACAAAAATAAATAAAACTATTCAAACAACATGGATATAAAATCATTTATTCCTAATATGATTTTGTGCATTTAGTCATTTTTATAATTTTTTAAAAATTGAATAAGACTTTCGGACAAAGTTGTGTGTCTCGACTCGCTGAATCCCTATGTAGATACACTTGTCACATAAGTGTATCTCTCTTCACTCGTCAGCTACTTAGCGGCCCAGCCATCGCGGCTTGCAAGCTCTTGGAACAAGATGGACTTGTTTCTTGACATTTGTACATTACTCATTAGTCATTTAAGATTAGCATAGTAGAAGCCTACATTTAACATTACTCATTTGTACCACTACAAGGTTATAGTGGCTTTGAGAAATTGGGCCTTTATTTTTGTATTTTTTGTATTTGTAACCAACTTAAGTATTAATTTTGGGCTTCAAAATTGTAATGGATTTCTACAATGTATTAGAATTAAAAGTAATTGTTGAGTAGGGAGTCGGTACGGTATTATACCGGTATACCGCGGTATTTGAAAACATTTACCGTTACCGTACCGAAATAGACCGGTACGGTATGATACCGTACCGAAAATGACGGTATACCAATATTTCGGTATTTTCCGGTATTTTTCGGTACGGTAAGTGCGGTATACCGATATTTCGGTATTTTTGCCCACCAACACGTTATCAACACTGCTCATAATGGCCACTCTCTCTTTTCTCCCGCAGAAGCCAGCTAAAATAATAGCCCATCCCCTGCTTTTATTTTTCGCTTGGTCTCCTGGTGTCCCATCTGCATCTCAGTTGGTACTCAGTCCTCAGCCTACCGTTCAAAAACTACTCGCAGATCAACGGCCGACACATCTGCTCAAAGCTCCGGTTGACAACATCAGCAGCATCGCCTCAGCCATAGACGCCTCTCTCCACCGGCTCTTCCGACACGGTAGTTCACCCTTCCAGTGCTAAACCGACACCTCCGTTCTTTGAGAAGATGGCTGACCAACCTCGACCCGAGTTTGACATTTTGGACTCAGAAGGACTTGAGTACCATCGATGGGTTTCTGATGTAGAAACCACATTTGTGGCCAAAGACTACTCCACCACCCTCCTTGACCCCGAAAATTGCAAAGACAACGCACCGTCTGAAAAAATGAAAGCTGCCGCCTTAATGTTTCTTAGGCGTCACATTGACCCAAGCCTACGTTGGGAGTATCTCCAATTGAAAACTCCCAAAGAATTATGGGATGCCCTCCAAGGGCATTTTGGGAACATACATGATACACTGCTCCCAGAACTCACTGTGCAGTGGAACGAAATTCGCTTGGTTGACTACAAAAAAGTCAATGATTTCAATAAGGATATGCTCCGTCTCAAGGCACGACTCAACTTTTGTCAAAAAATAATCACAGAAGGTGAAATGATTGAAAAGACACTTTCCACATTTCCTACCTCAGCACTTATACTCGCAAACCAGTATAGGTTGGAGTATAATAACAAAAGAATAACGACATACAATCAATTAATTGTCCAACTCCAAGTGGCAGAAAGGCATAATGAAGTTCTTTTGAACAATAATGCTAGACCAATCGGGACAAAGAAAATTCCCGAGGCCCACTATGGCAAAATGAGTGGTGGAAAGAACCCCAATGTAAAGGGGGAAGGACGTACCAATCCTTACTCCCATGGACAAAATTCCCAACGTGGGAGAGGTCGTGGCAATCGCGGTGGTCGCGGCGGTCGTGGCATGGCCCGAGGAGGATCTTCCAAAGTATGGAGAAGAGATGTGGGTGCTGGCTCTAATAGTCAAGAAAGTAAGGCACCCACAAAACCTCCGGTCAAACGGGAAAGAGCTGGTGAAGAACCTTGTTTCAGATACGGAACTCCTGGACATTGGTCCAAGCATTGCCAAGCTAGCAATAAAGTCGCAGCCGCATACAAGAAGTACCGAGAGTCTAAGGAACAGGAATCTCACTGTGTTATTGAAGAAGAAAATGAGGTTGATGCCAACCTCACTATTGCTGACTTCAGTGGAAAGCAAAACACCGCTCAGTCAATTGATGCACCAGACTTTGATTAAGTCACTTTAATTCATTTGCTGTTTTATGATGGACATTTATGAATTTCCGAACTCATGTTTTCATATTTGTTTTATGTTGGACGTTGTGTGCTTGTCGTTTTATTTAAAATAATTGGATTGGTTCTGAAATCCAAATGATATTCAAAATAAAATCATTTTCAGTTCAAATTTATATTATACTTCTTCATTATACAGGGATGACACGAGGAGAACTTGAGTGTTTAGTAGATAGTGGGACAACTCACACTATCTTAAGAAATAGACAACTCTTTACTGAACTCCTAGCCTATAATTCATTTGTGATAACAATGATTGGTTCATCACATGTAATACAGGGGCGAGGTACTGCTAGTTTTATGCTACCAAATGGTACAAACTTTTATATCACAGACGCTCTATATGCACCTAGAGCCACACGAACCTTGTTAAGTTTCAAAGATATTCGTGATAATGGTTTTCATGTGGAAACTCACTGTGAGAATGGAGTGGAGTACTTATACATTACCTCTAATGAATGCGGAAGGAAACACATTCTAGAAAAATTAATGAGTCAATCTAGTGGACTTTATGTCACTAGTATTCGGTTCTTTGAATCCTATAGTACCTCTAATAATGAAATATGGGACATAGACTCATACAGGCTTTGGCACGATCGCCTTGGGCACCCAGGTCGTGACATGATGATTCGTATATTAAAGAATTCACATGGACATCCTTTCTTTCAATCAAAACATGTGAAGAGGTCAAAATCTAACACACTAAAACGTGTTGATCCTATGATCACTCAAAAAAAGGATCTTCTAAAGTACCAGAAGAATTATCCCATGCCTCCTTCACGATGTCCAAATTACAAAAATCATTTTGTAAAGCCTGCTCTTTAGCAAAAACAGGATCAAAACCATCCTATGTTAAAGATACAAAAGTAAACATTCCATTCTTACAAAGAATACAAGGAGATATTTGTGGGCCCATCCATCCAGAATGCGGGCCATTTAGATATTTCATGGTTCTGGTGGATGCCTCGACCCGTTGGTCTCACGTTGCTTTATTGTCCACAAGGAACGCTGCATTTGCAAAACTCCTAGCGCAGATAATTCGTTTAAGGGCTCACCACCCTGATAATCCTATTAAGTCTATAAGACTCGATAATGCTGGAGAGTTTACATCAAAAACTTTTGATGACTATTGCATGTCTATCGGGATCGATGTAGAACACCCTGTTCCCCATGTACATACACAAAATGGTCTTGCAGAAGCTACTATCAAAAGATTACAAATGATAGCTAGAGCGTTGGTTATGCGCACCAACTTACCAATATCTGCATGGGGGTATGCAATATTGCATGCAACATTACTTATTCGCTTTAGACCCACTGCGAACCAACCATTTTCTGCGTACCAGTTGGTAACTGGATATGAGCCTGACATTTCACATCTACGCATATTTGGTTCTGCAGTATATGTGCCAATTGCGCCTCCACAGCGCACTAAAATGGGTCCTCAAAGACGATTAGGTATATATGTTGGCTATGAATCTCCAACTATAATCCGTTATTTGGAACCTTTGACAGGTGATCTCTTTACCGCAAGATTTGCGGATTGTCACTTTGATGAGACAACATTCCCGTCATTAGGGGGAGATGGGAAAAAGGAGTTTCCAAAAGAACGACAGGAATTATCCTGGTCCGTTCCCACCTTGTCTCATTTTGATCCCCGCACTTCACAATGTGAAGGTGAAGTCAAAAGAATAATCGATCTCCAAAATGTAGCAGACTCTATGCCTGATGCATTTACGGACATCGCTAAAGTGACTAGATCACACATACCTGCTGCAAATGTGCCTGCAAGGTTAGATATTCCCACAAAGGGTAATAGTGCCATAGTAGGAGGCACCACAACTACACTTAGTGGAGGTGTGGTTGAGGCCGTGGCTCCTCAAAGGAAGAGAGGAAGACCACTTGGTTCGATTGATACTCGCCCAAGGAAGAGGAAGACGAGTAAGGCACCACTTGATCCATTGATCATCGATGTACATCATCCTTCCCATGAGATTATCTCTGATTATAGTTATGTCCACGAATCATTACTGGAGGACGCTCCGATGTTAGATATGGTTCTAGAAAATAAAGAAATCTCAATGGATAGTGAAAATGCACATGTGCTAATGGAAAGATCTTTCATACACATCGATGATATATTTGCGTTTACTGTTGCTCAAGAAATTATAGAGCACGATGATATCGAACCACGCTCTGTTGCAGAATGTCAACTAAGAGCAGATTGGCCTAAATGGAAAGAAGCAATCCAGGCAGAATTAGATTCTCTGACAAAAAGGCAGGTATTTGGTCCGGTAGTGCTAACCCCACCAAGTGTAAAGCCTGTGGGACATAAATGGGTATTTGTCAGAAAGCGTAATGAGAAGAATGAAGTCTTAAGATACAAGGCTCGCCTTGTGGCGCAAGGTTTCTCACAACGCCCTGGGATTGACTACGAGGAGACATACTCTCCTGTAATGGACGCTATAACGTTCCGATACTTAGTGAGCTTAGCAGTTTCCGAAGGACTAGAAATGCAATTAATGGATGTAGTTACTGCATATCTCTATGGGGATCTTGACTCAGAGATATATATGAAAGTACCTGATGGACTTTCACTGCCCAAATCAAGTGACTCTAAACCATGGAGTGCATTTGCAATAAAATTGAAACGCTCACTTTACGAATTAAAACAATCCGGACGAATGTGGTACAACCGTCTAAGTGACTACCTGATTACAAAGGGATATAAGAACGACGAACTATGCCCCTGTGTATTCATTAAGACAACGAGTTCCGGATTTGCAATTGTAGCTGTATATGTCGATGACATGAACATAATTGGCACTCTTGATGAAATAAGAGAAACCGCAAGTTACTTAAAATCCGAATTTGAGATGAAGGACCTTGGGAAAACTCAATTTTGTCTAGGACTAGAGCTAGAACATCGAGTTTGTGGAGTATTAATCCACCAGTGTGCATATATCCAAAAGATGCTCAGGCGATTTAATATGGATAAAGCGCACCCTGCTAGCACTCCCATGGTTAGTCGAAGTTTGGATCCTAAAAAGGACCCATTTCGTCCAAAGGAATAAGATGACGAAGATGCATTAGGAGCTGAAATTCCTTACCTAAGTGCAATAGGCGCATTATTGTACTTAGCACAATGCACTCGACCAGATATAGCATTCTCAGTGAACTTATTGGCTAGATTTAGCTCCGCGCCAACGCAACGTCACTGGAACGGTATCAAAAATATTTTCCGATACCTAAAGGGAACTAGTGATTTGGGACTATTCTTTCCCTATAAAGAGACAAAAGAAAATACAAAAGACAAAATAATCACCCCCCTTAAGAAAATTCCAAATGATGTCTTGGTAGGTTTTGCTGATGCTGGGTATCTCTCTGACCCTCACAAAGGCCGCTCTCAAACCGGATACGTTTTCACAATTGGTAACACGGCAATATCTTGGAGATCAACTAAACAAACCCTTGTGGCTACCTCCTCGAATCACTCCGAGATTATTGCTCTACACGAGGCGGTTCGTGAATGTATATGGTTAAGAGCTATCATTACACATATTCGAGGAACTAGTGGCTTAAAATCTACCACTGACGAGCCTACTTGCATTTATGAGGATAATGCAGCTTGTATCGAACAAATGAAGTTAGGATATATCAAGGGTGATAACACAAAACACATATCTCCCAAATTCTTCTACAATCAGCAACAACAGGCCTTGCTCAAAATTCAAGTGAATCAAATAAGCTCAGAAGAAAATGTAGCAGACTTGATTACTAAGTCATTACCCAAGGCCACGTTTGAAAAACATGTAAAGAGCATAGGAATGCGAAAGCTTTCTGAGCTCCCCTGATAAATGTAAATATCAGGGGGAGGTGTAGACATGAGGGGGGTCTTTCACCTACCCACCATTACGTTATACTCTCTTCCTTAAACCAAGGTTTATTTTTCCCACTGGGTTTTGTTACTTGGTAAGGTTTTTAATGAGATAACGATACTTATTGATCAAGGTAAGGATCAAATGAAGAAAGACTCGAAGGACGAAGTCTAACACAACTTTCATATTGTTACATCTTTTCTTTACAAACAAGGTTATTTTTCCCACAGGGTTTATTGTTACTTGTTGAAACTCCTACAAGGCATCATGGCGAATATCATTCTATCTACAACTCAGCACAAGGGGGAGTGTTAAAGGAAATTACATGTAGTGTGCTATTATTATAGATAGAATATATCTGTGGAAATGATCTGTACGTTATTAATGGGCCCTGAGGCACATGTATTGTAACCCTTGCCTATCCCTATTTAATGGGAGCTTTCTATGCAGTGATAATACACCAATTCCCTTCAACATCTTCAAAATTATAAACTCTAAATTAGAATATAATTAAAAATTGGCATCCTAATTAAGCGAATAAAATGAAACTGTTTGATAAAAAATGTCAAATTTGCAAATCAATTTGGGACGAAGGTAGTATATACGGAGTAACAAAGTGAGAACTTCTTTTGGTAAAGATTAAGGCGCCGTTTAATTGCCTCTTAATGGTGGATTTAATAAGAATTACAACTTAATCGTTCAACAGCGCAATAATATAGAAGTAGTACTAACTATAAAGACTAGCAGTACTAAATCTTTATTTATGACTTTATTGAAAGCAAAACTTGTATAAAAGCAATATTTCCCATCAATACGCCTATTAAAACGTCTATTCTTCAAATTTGTTTGAAGTGATTACAAAATAGATTCATATTAATAAATGAAATTTTTCATTGATTATATAACCTAATAATGACATTAAATTGATTATTTTACTCAACTCTGACTATTTAGTCAACACATAAATAGTATGATATATACAAACATCACTTTATATTAAAATAAACAACCCTAAGTTTGTCACATACTCACACGTATAACTTAACGCAATAAATTTGTAAAGGTTCATCTCTTAATGTGCACAACATTAATCAACATTGTGAGTAAAGCTTCAAGGATACTTGGAGCAATAGAATCAACTCGGCCCCGATGCAGATCAGGGATGGAGTCACTTTGCTCATTGAACAAAGCCATCGAAGAGTTGAAGTCAATAATCAAGCAATGCACTCAATCTAGTAAGCTCTACCTTGTATGTAACCCTCTCTATCTACCACCTATGTTGCACGGAAGTGTGGGGAACTCACGGGGAAATGAGAAACGTCAATTTTTAATACAAAAACAATTATTTGTGGAGTGCTAGTAAAGTTTTCGAAATGGAAATGTACTTTTTCTAGAAAATTTTCGTGCTTAACACGCAACCAACTCATATATAGATATACTTCATATTGTTTTTGTGAACTAAAAAAATTTAATTGGCAAATACGCCGGCTGTCCTTCAGGCTCTAAGAGGAGACATTATACACTCAAGATGCATACGCTCAAGGAGATTAATGGAGGCCAGCCTTGACGACATACAAAATATGGTTCCTTTATCGCTCGCTTCGCAGGTTTGTATCTGATTTGTAACAAAAAAAAAAAAAAACTTCAGTTTAACCACATCAGTTTCACACGATGGGGCATCAGTTTCAAACAAACTAAACCAATAATATAATTAACATAAATTTATTCTCCGTTAAATGTTAAATCAGAACTGGAGTGACCGGTTCTTTAACCCAAACCAGAACGACGGGGCGGATGTACATTAACGTTAATGGGGGCACATGCCCCCAACAAATTTCTATTTTTTTTTGTTTTATAGAGTCAAAATTTATTAAATAATTAGTGGTGCCCCCATTAAGAAAAACTAAGTGCCCCCAACAATAATTATTGGGTGCACCGAGCAAACAATTTTGTTTTTGTTATTTTGTACTACGTCTGTCCCTTTTTATTTAGTCATCTTTGACTTTTCTATTCAAAGATGATAAACTTTAATCCATTATTTTAACCAATATATTTATGTGAAACATAATAAATTAATTTTTTTATAGTATTTTTAACAAAGAACATTTTCATATAACTTTCATATTATACATATTACCGTTTATAAATATATAATTGGTCAAAGTTGAACAACTTTGACTTGAAAAATAGTGTTTGGCTAAATAAAAAGGGACGGAGGGAGTACTATTTAATATTAGGGGTAATATATTTTCCATATAAAAGTAAATAAAAGCATAATGGTAATAATAATAAGGATGTTTTTACTTGGACTGAAATTTGTCGGTCTGGTCTGTTTAAGTATGGTTTGGTCTGGTCTCTATGTATGAAAGTCTAGTCTGATCTGGTCTGAACAGGTCTCATTTGGTCTGATCTGATTTTTTTAAGTCTGGTTTGATTTGGTCTGGGACTGAAAACAATGTAAGTGAAAACATCCTAAGAGATTAAGTTTTAAATTCTTAAAAATGTAGCAACTCTTCTTATCTACCCTTGCCATGCTTTAATAAGATTTGTTTTCATATATAATAATAAAACATAAAAGAATAAAATATAAAAAGTCACCTTACATCAATAGTGTCATCTTGATGGGTGATTCATACTAAAACTTGGCATTTTCAAATAATATAATAATGTCATCTTGTTTTTTTATAAATTACAATTAATTTTTTAATTAGTAAGGTTAGAATAAAAAGAGAGCATATAAATTACTCATATTTTAAGAATATTTTCCCTCAGTTTCTTAAAGCTTTGCCAGCCAAGTTTGAGCGCCATCGGAATTAAATAAGTAAAAACTATGTCGTTAAGGTTTGTACAGAAGAGCGAGAATTAACCGGAACAACAATTTTTTATTAAAAGAAAAAGTGACAAAGTGGGACACCTAAATTAAAAAAGAAAAATTAGCAAAGTTTTAATGGACGGAGGGAGTAATAACTATAATTCGATTTTTACATTTTCAAATTATTTTATTCCTATTTGGAGCTATAGTCCACTACAGACACCTCTTTCTACTTTTCTGAAATTTATGGTGGCACACCCTATCACTATATGTATGTTCACAGTGCCCCCAATAACAAAATTTTCTGTATCCGCCACTATTAGTACGTATATTCTATTTGCAACCACCTATTTACTACCAAGGTTCGATTTTCCCATATTTTGGGCAATAGTAGTTGGTATCGGACTATTCCGGTTCGCCCGGTTCGGAACGGAGTTTTTTGATCAATACTTTTATAATAATAAAAACTTCAACAATATAATAGTCAAACTAGTAATACTAACAAGAACAAGGGGCAGCAGGCCAAGGGCAATGACCCTAAGCCCAAAATATTGTAAAAATATTTAGGCCCAATATGTAGTGTTTGTATTAATCGTGAGTAGGCTTCTATTTAGCCATACATGTCTCTTATTCTCCCATTCTCGAGAGTGCTAGTTAGGCCCAAAAGAAAACTGAAGGGCTTCTGCCTTTTCGGATTTCAGAAAAATGGCCTTATAATTTGTAACAATAACCCATGATAGATTATCGCTGCCATGAGCCCGGAAATACGCAGGACCGACCCTGACAACAACAACAATAAATAGAAATTACATTACCTTATGTTCTTAGGTTGAATAATATTATTAGTTATTTCTTATTTCATTTTAAAAGCAACAATAGTTAACTAAATGAAAGAACTATACCAATCATTCATAAAAACCTTACGTTGAAAAATGGGATCTTTTAGATACGGAGTATTAAATGTACCAAGTATAAAAAGTTTTTAAAAACATATCACATTTTTATAGGTTATATTTAAAAAAAATCAGACCATGCTAGCCTGGTTCATCTCGAAACCAGCGATCCTGACCAAAAACCGGTTTTGTTCATGGAAACCCCATAAATGGGTGAAAAAGTTGAATAACTAGGGAAACCCGTTTTCGGATGATTTAAATTAAGTGTCATGTCAAATTATATTGTAAACGTACACTAAATATAATAACTACTCCCTCCGTTCCAATTTGATATTCACGTTGCGGTTTACGATGATTGACCGATAATAAAGCAAATGAGTCTCTGTTCGCATTCAAACTATTTGTAACAAATAAAAACTACACCAAAACCATTACAAAACCTGCAAAAAAAAATTAAATTTCATAAAATTTTGATATATAAAGTAAAAGATTAAGAATGTTTCAAGTTGACCAAGTGAATAGGAAGTGTGAACATCAAATTGGGACAGAGGTAGTACTACGTATGTATTACTAGTACTCTCTTCGCCGCATTCAAACTTTCTCACTTTTTTTGGATGTCTAAACTAAAAGATTCTCATTTTCCATTTTACAAAACAATTCACTCTTATATTATAATTTAATCATCGAGTATTATATTGAAAAGAATACATGCATAGTATATAACATTACAATTATCATCAATAATTCATTATATTATATACCCATCAAAACTAGTTCTCAAAATGTATTCAAATTAACATATTTAACTATTGTCCTAAATAATCGTGTCATTTCGCATGGAAACTTTTGAACGAAATGTAGTATCATTATTGACTGAATTTCCTAGTGTTGACATGATGGACCTAGATTGACCGTGGTTGGGTCATTTGGTGGAGTGTCTTACAGGTCCAGTTGTTAAGCATATCCAAAATGTTGCTCGCATTTTCATAAACATATACTACCTCCGTTCCAGGTTCCCACACGATTTACGATGTTTTACTGACCATAAAGTTAACTGATCTCTATCATTAATAGAATTATTTTTAGTAAATAAAATTTACATATTCAGAAATTACATTAAACCCGCTACAAAACCTGCAAAAAATAATTTAAATTTCATAAACTTTAGATATAAAAAGTAAAAGATTAAGAACAATGCACGTTGACTAGAGAATAGTGTACGAGAACCTTTAAATGGGACGGATGGAGTACCTAGTACTACTTTACGTATTTTTATCTGAAATGTGACTATTACCCTTACATCTTCTATTCTTCTTACATTTTACTTGATACGGAGTATGAAATAAAGCAAAGGTAGGCCTGAAAATTCATAAGAAAAGTTGTCCTTGCATAAGTTACTTTTTATCTTAGATAAATTTAAATTAAATAGTTCTATAACATAACTTAATTATGAATGTACTCGGCCCATTATTAATCACATTACTTTACTCATCCATGATCCATCATGTTCTTTAACCGATAAATTTGTATACATTAATAATTTTTCAACATAAATGTACTATTTGGGGAAATTTCATGTCGACGTTAACCATTTCGGTGTGCTTTTTGCCAATTGCAGAAAAGTTATTAATGAAACAAAATATTTTAGTTTATTTTTAAAGGAGCAAAACATTACGGAGTATATTTTAGTTATAATTGATTTGTTAGCAAGTAAAACTAAAGGACTAGCAACGGATACAAACATAATAAATTAGGCCACTAAATCAAGAAATCTTCACTTCCTTTTCAAATAAATGTAAAATGTTTATGATTTCTCACTTTTCATCTAAGTTGCACCCTTTATACATATGAGCAAATTACACTTACACTTACTAATATACATATGCGTCTGAAAACCAACTAAATATGATTTAGCAGGTATGTGAATTAGGTGCTGATCTTAGAGGTGCGACATTTATCATAGAAGGAGCTGAAGAGGAGGCCGCTAAGGCTGTGAAAGAAATACTCTATAATCAGTTCGTTACAAAGAGTGAAGTAGAGGAGTGGATTAAGGTTGCAATGTCCCGACTAAATATTAACTCTCCAAAAGCTCTCTTGGTAGAGAAAAAATCAATCACAATGATGCTACATAATCTTGGCGATGGCCAGAAGAAGACCATTTTGACCTTCTTGCTCCATCTTCTGAGGAAGCACGGGAAACAAATTGTGGAGACATATTCTTCCCAAGAATAATTGTAGAGCGAATGCTACATACGGTACCTATAAAAAATGAGGATACCGTACGAGTAAAGGGTCAGTTTAGTCCTCGAAGTTGCAAAAAGGCGTCAAATAAGTCCTTATATAGAAGATTCTGTCCGGACGTGCCATTTGAGGTGGCTCCCGGTGGAATTTTGTGATAAATTTTTTTGAGCATCTTATTCATTAAGTCTAGTTTACTCATACCAAATTTCAGCTAAAAATTCAATCGGGAAGACATTCAAATGAATTCCTGAAGATAAGATCACTTTTAACGGCACAATTATCTTCAAGAATTCATTTGAATGTCTTCCCGATTGAATTTTTATCTGAAATTTGGTATGAGTAAACTAGACTTAATGAATAAGATGCTCAAAACATTTCATCAAAAAATTCCACCGGGAGCCACCTCAAATGGCACGTCCGGACAGAATTTTCTATATAAGGACTCATTTGACCCTTTTTTTGCAACTTCGAGGACCAAACTGACCCTTATCCCGATACCGTACATATCATGCATTTGATTGGTCCAAGTCATTAATACAACATTTATTTATATTGCAATATTCATATTGATCCAGGTGTACAAGGTATGATACCTTGATGGTATCATAAAATTTGTCTAATACGTAGTAATAGACATACTATGCCATGTTGAGCGAGTCCCAGCCCGTTTATAAGTTTATTGATTTGATTCCCCGTTTGGTCAGGGCTGAATTTTGTTCAGATGCAGTTGATTCAATTAAAAGTTTATTACTAGGAATTTATAACTCTCTTAATAAATTAAACGAATTATATTGTTATAATATTTAAAACATGGTGGTGTTTTTCCTTTAAAACCGTTTTTCCTTCCAAGAAGTAGATAATGGTGATAAATGAAAGGCTTAAAGACCTAAATAGAAATAGATGAAAGTTAAATTGGAAAAAAAGATTGTAACTTCTGCTGTATTCGTGTAGGATTAGAAACTGATAAAGTTCCTAAATTTACCAACTCAAAATGCCAAAACTTCCGCCCTTGATCGAGCACTAATGATTAATAATGCCAATATTATGGTACTACCTCCGTCCCTTAAAACTTTGTCAAATTTGACCAGCACGGAGAATAATAAAGTAAAAACTGTGTAATTGAGGTTTATGCATAGGAGAGAGAAACAACAAAAACCACAAAATAATTGATTTAAAAAGGAAAATGACAAAGTTTTTTGGGACGTCCCAAAAAGGAAAGACGACAAAATTTTATGGGACAAAGGCAGTATTTAATTTATGATACTGCCAATACACTAGCATCATGAAACTATACAGTCACCATTTAACTGTTGGTGACAACTCCGGTACCCTTTTAAAAATTGGGTTACCGTACCTATCATGCATTTGATTGGTCCAAATCATTCTATTCCTTTTAATTTAGATTTAATTATTTCAACTGCATCATTCTCATTGGTTCATGTGGACAAAGGTATGGTACCTTAAGGGTACCATAGAATCTACCTTAATTGTTTAAGTACTAAATGTCATAATAATCGAATAATAATCAATATCATATCAATGGACACAAAAATGTCATCTTCATTGTTAGGAGGTGCAATAGGTGTTTGGCATCGGGACTCACTCTTCTAGGAGGCCTCCAAAAATGTGAATGTAGTACTCCCTCCGTTTCAGTGTTTGACACACTTTCCTTTTTTGGACGTTTCAAAATGAATGTCACACTTCCTTATTTCCTTATTTGGTAAACAAATCTTTACCAAAACAGTGCAAAACAGTGTCAAATAGTGTTCAAACAGTGCCAAACAGTGTCAAAATAGTAAAATTTACCCTCTCAGTAAATTTTTTCCCTTAATTCTTGACAAGTCAAACTGTGTCATACAAATCGAAACGGATGGAGTATTAGTTATAGATTGATTTTTCTAGATGTTATGTATTGTTCAAGAATATAAACTCAAGGTATATAACTTTAGATTCTCTATTTTGTGTACTTTAAACATCATAAAAATGTTTCATTGAACTATCTAATCTATTTGTATTTCATGGTTAAATTTTTTTCTTTTTTCTCGTTTTAGGGGCCTCAATTTTCCATTAGGAATCGGGGGCTCCTAATTAAGGCCCTGGTGATACTCAGGATTTTTCAGCAGTAGATCCTGTTCAATCTACAGCCATAGGAGAGGCGGAAAGAGAGCTCGATTTCAGTAAGTCCTGGATAAATTTGCGCAACTTGGAAATTTAAATATCAATGGCGGTACAGTGCTCGATCAAATCATGGAAGATGCTTCATTCATAATTGTTTGTACTTAAAACAAATTAAGTGATTATAGAAATTATAAAAGGTGTTTCACAGTGAAAATTGACGATGTTTGAGAATAAAAGTAAAATGCAATAGAAAGCATAGGATTTAATTACTCCATTGGTCCAATTTTACTTTCCATTTGGATTGTTCTAAAATTAGTGTCATGTTCCTTTTTTTGGAAAAAATATGTGATTTATAGCATTTCAGTGTATGTTACTCAAATCTCAACAATAATCTTTACTTTTTCAACTACTTTATTAATATACGTAAAAGAGGCGATGATTGTATTAATTATAAGTTTCATCAATCCAGACCCTGAAAGATAAACGAATTATAAATATGGGAACTGAAAAATGATATGTGTTAGTATAGGATGTGATTATAGGATGCACGTTATATGTGGCAGATAGATGAATTATAGGATGCGATTGAAAACTATCAATCAAATACCTAAAGTTCTAAAAGTTTTGATTTATTTAATTTTTTATAAATTCAATTGCTACTTTTGATGAATTTATCTTCATAAAAGGTTATTAATTTAATAAAATTAAATGATACTTAAAGATAATAAAATTCAAGACAACTTATGTCCTTTATTAATAGTTTTGAATCAATCATCTGAGTCATATACTGACGCATTTCATCTTTCTGGTCATGGATTGATAGTTCATCAATCTTTGATGTCGTGGATCGATAAAATTCCTGATTAAATAATTCTAACTTCCATTTTGAAAGTTTACAATATTTTAGATGATTGTTTGAGACTATGTAAATCGAGTTTTAATCACACTATTTGAGAGAGGGGTTCTATCCCACCAGCTCAACTATGTAGGCTCCAACACAATGGAAAAAGTTTAAAATATACTCCCTATAGTCCTACTTTTCCTTTCTTTATAATGGGTTACTCGTATTTGGAATGATCTCAACAAAATAAGTTTTTTTTGTCATTCCTCAACCAAATAAGTCAGCTGCCGAAAGGGCTCTAACAGGATCAACTACATGTCTATGAAACTTAAAAAGGGATATAAAAAACTAAAGGAAATTAAAAAGGTATCAAAAACCAAAGAAAAATAAAAAGAGATAGAAGTCAAGAAGGGGCGTTTATTTATCTATTCATATTTTTCTGACCATTACTCGAGTTAGAAACTAAATAATTGAAGTGAAACCAAATGTGACGTTTAGCCTTTCTGGGCAGACTATCTTAGAAGGGAATAAAAGTGATTCAATCTAGTTCAATTGACTTTTGGTTCAAGTACCTTTCTTAATAAATATCACTGCCTGGATTCTTTCATGAACATATTTTTTCTCTCAAAAGAATGTCTCCTCTTTTTTGTATCTTCCTCTGACACCCTTTATTTATTTTATATTATAATTTTTTTTTCATATATACCCAATTATCACCATGCCCATAATTAAATTAAAGTTATCACCAGGCCAGGTGCAAAATGTGGGAGGCTAGGTAAAACATATATACACAATGATCAAGATTGCCATGACAATTTTATTATATTATATTTTCACATACTGTCTATATATATTATTTTCATATACTAGTATTTCATAATGCTTGAATGAAGAAAAGATCATCTACATTATATGTACTAGCTCCTTGTACAATAATCTTGGTTGTTGCAGTTTGGCAATGGTGTGGGCTTGTGGGGTTGAAACAAAAAAATAGAATTAAAAGAAAAAGGGAAACAAAGGAGACAAAGCCACCTGAAGGTGATGGAGATCCATATACCCAACCACAGCTTTAAGCTAGACTGGCAGCCCATACAGTCAATGTCTCTCTCAGTCTCAATTATTTATTGCTTCTTATTATCATAATCAGTTCTCTTTTTAGCTAAATGTTGGGCATTTGCCCTTATCGATATCTACATTTGATTTAACGTAACTAATTAATAATGTGATCTTGTCTCTCATCTCCTTCCTTTCCCAGCTAGATAATCTTCCCATATCTGTTAATTATGATGAGCATAAACCAACATTTCTAACAGAATTTAAAAATACATAAATCAGTGTACTTACATTTGATCTATGGATTCTTTGGGCGAGCTCAATCACATGTAGATGTTTAGGCTCCGCTACTTCATGTCTTCATTTTGTTCTTGAATGGGGCAATAGGATTTCAGGAAAGAAGAAGCAGGGGCGGCCCTGGGGGGCAGCATGGGCAAGGGCCCTAGGTCCAAAAAAAAAGTTAAAAATGTGAAAGTAATGGAAAGGCATACCTAATGTGGTAGCCTAGATGTCATATATATAATAATAAGAGTTCTGAGTACATTAGGAAACAAATAAATATGGAAACCTAATTAAAGTATTAATTACACTATTACACCCCCTCAAGCTGTGCAGGGGAAACAATGCGCAGATTGTCCCTAAGAAAAATAAAACGCTGTGGAGATAGACTCTTAGTCAAAATATCTGCTAGCTGAAACTGTGTAGGAACATGACGAACAACCAGATCTCCATGAGAAACTCGCTCACGGACAAAATGATAATCAATGTTAATATGCTTACTCCGGGCATGCTGAATAGGATTAGCTGATAAATAAGAAGCTGAAATATTATCACACATAAGTGTGACTGGTGCGCGAACCGAAAACCCCAATTCAAATAAAATGGATCGTATGTGTAGAGTATCCTGCACTGTGTATGCAATTGCCCTATACTCAGCTTCTGTGGAAGAGCGAGAAACAGTGGGCTGCTTCTTAGCCTTCCAAGAAATCAGGTTAGGACCCAGAAAAATAGCAAAACCAGAGGTGGACCGGCTACTGTCAGGACAGCCAGCCCAATCAGCATCCGAGTAAGCCTGTATGGT